TCTCTCTCTCTCTCTCTCTCTCTCTCTCTCTCTCTCTCTCTCTCTCTGGTGTCTGTATCCTTCCAACCTCAATTTCTCCCTCTCCATTTCCCTCTTGCCCCATCCTTCTTGGTTAGCATAAAGTTAGCAATTATTCTCCACACGCCTTTTTACTAATGGTGGCCTGCCTTACCATGGCTAAGAACCAATAGAGTCAGTCAGACATTTATTGACACCTTTGAAATTATGGGCCAAAATAAGTCTTTTGTTCCTTCAAGTTATTATTTTCAGATATTTGAACAGCGACAGAATAAATTAACATAAATAAATATATCCCGATCAAAGAATTCCACTATTACTTATTTATCAAAAAGAAATGAAAAGGAAACAGTACAAGTATAAATAGAAAACAGTAAATAAAATGTGGAATATCCATATAACGGGCCATTGCTGAGCAATGCCAATGAATGCATTTCTGATACACAAAAGCGTGGGTGAACACTTCTGTTGTCACTATGTGGAGTCAACATGCAATATACAAGGCAGCTTATTGGTACGGTTCCACCAAGACATTTGAGAAATCTAAAACTAATCTGAATGACAGAAACCATGCTATCATCTTGGTATGAGGAGGGGAGGATTCATGGCTCAGAGGCACAAGTAATGTTTAGTGTAACATCTGTGTTAGGTTTTGAAAGTAATCACGGTTTCACGGGTATATATGCCTGTCAAAACGTATCTAGTTGTACATTTTAAATAGGCAACTAGAGTTTGATATGGAAAAAAAATGAATTCTTTGTTGAAGAACAGGAATTCATAGTAAAACTATTTGCTTTATGATGACTACCTCTTAACACAGGACAATCAGCACATGTCACCTGAAAACTTTATTTTATGCTAATGTAAGTTGAGTAAATGACGTCAGGAGTAAAATAATGTAGTACTGGAGAGTTATGAGTACTTGCTGCTCTTTCAGGGGACCAGAATTCTACGCACCCTCATTAAGTAGTTCACAATTGCTTCTAACTTCAGCTCTAGGGTCTTGGACGACTTCTTCTGGCTTCCTGGAGCACCTGAATGCACATATCAATACAAACACACACACACACACACACACACACACACACACACACACACACACACAATGTAATGAAAAATATAAGAAAGAAATCTTTAAATTTAACAGTTAACATTAAACTCCTACATTAATTTTGATTCTTCCTGTCTTCTTCTCAGAGTGACTCCCTTAGAGGTTTTATTTACTAACTCCTCTCTTCTATTGCTTCTTTCCACCTATTCCCCAGCATGTAGAAACAAAAGTATTGATGGGCGTAGTCGACTGGCAAGCTAGAATTAACCAGACCAGCTCAATACAACAGATCTATTTTAATAATTGAAAACAGGAAAACTTACACAACTGGGATCCAGTGAACACAGACAGCGTGAGCACACCTGGATTCCCAGGTCTTTCTTCCTTGGCCCCAGGCGGCCACACCCTAGTCAAATGTGATTGGCTGAACTTCCCTATCAAAGTATAGTATTGACATTTGTTTAAAAACTAGTGTTCTGGTCATATAAGCTCTACAGGATCTGAAACCACTTTGCTTTTTTTCATCAAGCCTATTAGCAAGACTTGACACACGGCACGGTATAGATAAGTATACTCTAAATATTTACTGGGCACAGTGATGCAAGGAAAAATAAAGATTAAGTAAAACTATACCTGCTCTATCTGTTTGGAGGGGAAGACTTGTTCTAATGTGTGTCTCACAGGGGCAGATGAGAAGTGCTGGGAAGTCACTTCTGATCAGTGTGTATGTGTCCAGAGGCACCAGCTGCAGCTAATTCACTCTGGTATTTCAGGGATGGATCTCAGAACTCATCTAATGAGTGTCCACGGTGACTTTAATGAGATCCTTGCCCAGACATGACGAATGCCCAGCAGGCAGCTCTTGAACACAGCAAGGCACAAATACTAAAAGCCCATTTTCAAAAAAAAATCCATCAAATATATTTTCACAGAGCCACCACGTGGAATTAAACTACTCTTTATGTAGACTGCAGTTGTCAGCAATGTCTTATGCATGCTGGATAAAGTAATGCTCACAGTTGTATTTTCAAGTATTTTATATTGAGTGTGTATATCATACTAACCTGATAGTTGTGATGGTTCTGCCAAGTTAGTGAACAATGTGCTAGAATAGATACTTATGAGATAAGACCACATTGGTAGCAAGATTTGGGGGAGGCTCTGAACTACGTTGAGCCTCTGTTTGTTACTTTAACTAAGTTAACACCAATAATTTTCAACCAAATATCAGTGAATAACTTAAATAAAAACACACGATAGCTATTCAATGTTAATGTATGCATAATTATATGTTCAGAAAAATGCTTATGTCTATTTGTGATGCAGGAAGTCCTTCTGCATATGTGTTGCTTTTATTGGTTAATGAATAAAGAAATTGCTTTGACTTGTAATAGGGCAGAGTAGAGCTAGGCAGGAAAGCTAAACTAAATGGTGGGAGTAAGAAGGTGGGATCAGGAGAAGCCATGTAGCCCTGCCAGAGACAGATGCTCTGGAACCTTGCCAGTAAGCCACACCCACATGGTGATATACAGATTAATAAAAATGGGTTAACCAAAGATATTAAGCTAGCTAGCAATATGTTTAAGTGACTGGACAAGCAGTGTTTTAAATAATATAGTTTCTGTGTGATCATTTCGGGAGTCTGGGTAGCCGGAAAATGAACAAGCAGCCTCTGCCAACATATTTGTTTGAATAGTATTTAAACAATTTACAAATCATAATTAAAGTATAATAATTTTACATATATAAAACTAAAAACAATAAACTGAATATCAAGTCCACCATCTGTTTTATGCTTTTAAGTCTTCCAACTTAGGAATGTACTATGTAATCCCTAGTTACATAAAAAAATCTTTAAGGTCTTTCAAGAAAGTGTAAAATTCTCTTCCTTACAGTTTGGTGTATCATTTTCTAGATCCTTCTATTATTCATTCCACTGTTTCCATGACTACATGTTCTAAACATTTCAATTCTATTTTTTCATGTGTTTTACGTGTAGACTTTGTTTTCATAAAATATAATTGAGTGATTTTGTTTCAGATTTCAGAGTCCCCCGCCTGCTCTGAACATGGTGTTTCTTTGTTTCTGCTACACATGTGTGTTTCCTCACCCCCAACAAATACCTTCCTTCAACTGCTAATTCTGTCAACAATGCTTGAAACTTCTCTGCTACTACTCGTTGTGTTCGATTTTTTTTTGCCTTTTAAGTCTTTAAATACCAAAGAAAATGTACAAGATCAAGACCTCTAGACTATATGATTTCAAGACCGCCATATCATTTAAGGACTCACCCAGTAATTCCTCTGAAGATGCTATCACTTGGGGACCTCATTTCAGGATTTCTTTTGAGGACTATCAAGTCATCAAGGTAAGAAATCAAGACAAACCCTCAAAGGATAGGAAGGTGTGTCTGTCCACTATTCTGCAGGAACTTTTCCACATCCTAGAACTGGGCTTGTAATTTCATTTTCTTCTTTTCAACAAGGAGTGTCCACTCAGACCTGTTATCCCAGGATTAATATGATCAATATGTATGGTTCTTTAACATTTTCAGACATTACAGTTAAACATATAAGATGCTATTTGGACAACTATTTCTCACTAATGATTCTTTTTCTGATAGCACTGTTTCTAGAAAATTACTTCTCACAGGTATAATATGATATTCTGTGCCCTTATCAATCATATTCCATGATTAAAGGAGGCTGTCAGATAGCCTGTTGTGAAGTTTACAGATGCTAATCTAGTAGTTACTTCAACAAACGGAACTTGAATTTCATTCACATTTGATCCACATGTTCCACCTCCACTAGACTTTACAGCTGATCATGAACAAAACTATCTCTTACTGGTAAGACAATGCCAGTATGCCTTCTATAGGATTCTGACAAAATATTTCTGGTACATAATCAAGCCAGTTACAAAATTATAGCTCACTTCTTTAAACATAATCTATATTAACCACAATGTCTAAGTATTTTTCTTCTTTAATTTTGTCTCTTATTGTCTCCCATCAGGTTTCAGTTGAATAAATTCAGCTGCCAACTTCTGAACTTAAATTGATTGATGAAAGTCTCCTTGAACTCCTGAACCAGACAAATGCACCCTCTACAATATACATCTTACAGGAGACAATGGCGGCAGAAAGATCATCTATCTCATTGATGCCTGTCTGAAAGCCTGCCAAGGATCTTACGAATGGTTTTCTTGCCTGTTCTCTTCCTCTAATAAGGGAAAAACTGTCCTGGCTATTTTCCTAACTGTGCTCTCAGTAGGAATTATAGTGTTGCTAATACTCTCACGTTTTATGTGTTACAGATGTTACCTCACTCATATGACAAGCTCCAAAGATACACACCATCATCAAATGGCTGTCTTATGCTCTGGATCATTCCCGTCTGTGAAGTTTTACCATGTCCTCTTAGATAGGCCCTCCTCTGAGGTACTCTGGCTATTGCTTCTTCATTGTCAGCCATTTGTCAGTTTGAAGTAGCTAGGAGTTTTCATTACTCCCAAATGCCCTAAGAGCAATTAATATGACCACTGGGAGGGGTGAGAAATAAGGAGTTAGACAGAGTCCCTGAAAGTCAGACAAAAAGGGAGAGGGGCCAAAGTTAGGTAGTGAAGATATGAAATCTCTAAAATGACCAGCTTCTTCCTCACCTTTCTGACTTGAGACAAAAGCCTAGTGACTTTTGTTTCCTACCAGCAGGCCCTCTAATGCCTGATGATAGACTGGTTCAACATTTCAAGGCCAGATCAGGACATGTCACATAACAGTTGTAGACCAATCAGCCATCCTATATGTTTTCAAATGATCCACCTAACATAGGGAAGGAAAATTCTTCAGAGGCTTAAAAAAAAATTCCAGCCCTCTAAAACAGACTGAATTTTCTTTGGTTCCCCAGTGGCCCTTCTGCAAAGCAGAGGGTCTTTTCTCTATGTCTGCTGAATGTGTATGTGCATTTTAACTGTATATATATACATACATATATGTACAAATATATGTAATTATATGAGATCCTTCATGATTCTGACATCCATTTTGTAGATTTTATTATTTTAAACTAATCATCATGTAAATAATAATGTTAAGACTGATTGCTTCTCATATATATATATATATATATATATATATATATATATATATTTGTCTAGCTATAAAGATAATATCTTGTGGTCAAGGGTAGATGTCAAGTTTCACAATTTATAGTAAAGCTTCATTCTTCCCACAGCACATAGATAATTGTATTCACCTATTCTAACAAATGCCTGCCTCTTATTAGCTTTTCTTCTTACTCTCAGTCTGTAGCATATTAACTGCCCATAGTAGATATTAATGATTAGTTGAATTTTGAAGCAGCATCACGAAATCATATGCTGAATCATTGAAAGAGTAGAGCATATAAATGATGCATTGAGAGCTTAGAAAAGTTTTACTATAAGGTTTAGTCATTGAGGAATTCCTAAATTATAGATCACAAACTTGAGTTGGACATTAACATGACATGAATGCTGGTATTCTTTTTTATTTCTTTATTGCAGAAAGAACACATAAAATTTTTCCTCTTCATGGAGTTTTGAGTTACTGTCCATAAACACAATAATGTATAACAAATTTCTAGTACTTGATTTATTTTGCATGACTGAAGTTATCTGTCTTTCAAAGAAAACTAAAAATATATGTGTAATATGTGTGTGTGTGTGTGTTGTTGTTGTTGTTGTTGTTGTTTAGTTTGCTTTGAGGATATGAGAACCCGGGTTCTTGCCGATACCAGATAAACTTATGGAACAAGGCTCAAATCCTAGTTGTTGGGAAGCTGAGGCCTAATGATTGAGTCTGAGTTACTTACAAAGCTAGCCAAAGTGAGTTGAGGAGGATTTCATACAATATTACCACTGCACTGATAAATTCTGTTTCTAATGTGGCTCAAAGAAACACTGAGGGAATCAACAAAATAAAAATGATATTCCTTTCTTGATAAAGGTGAAGGAAAAGGAGCTCGTCCCCAACGTGAATGAACTAATGATTTATCAAGCCTAACCTATCTCTTGACATAGAGATGACATCTTCAAAGGTTAATTATTCTGGGTCATTCTCTAAGATTGTGTGCATTTTTAGCCAGACCTGTAATGGAGGATGGTTCACACATCCCTTTGTAATTATGAACTGGTTTTCACTTCACATTGTCCCTTAGTGTGCAGACATGGCTGTCGAGGAGAAGCACTGTTGGAATGTGTATCCTCTGGTGCGTGATGCAGACCTGTGACAATGTGGATCATGAGTGCCTGCCAAGGTCCCTGTGGTGAAAATTTTGTTTGCAAAGTTTAGAACTCTTGCCAGGGAGGGCCCAAATGGGAAGAAATAATGACATTAAGTGAATTCCCACGATGGGCACATTGACACACTGAACCCTCCACTTCTCTTGGTGTTTCTTTGAAAAATGATCAGGTTCCTCTTTCTGTGTTTCATTCTAATAAAATTTAACCACAGATAAAAAACAATAGAACCAACCAACCATGGAACGAGAGACAAATGAACCTTTCATCTTTAGAAGATTTTACCTCTAGTATTTTGTAACTCTAGTGGAAAACTAGCAAACATGTAACTGAGAATTCCTTAAAAAGATCTGTTTTCTTTTAGTTCTCATTTATGCCTTAAATTCTGATCAAATGATAAATTCTTCTGACCTATTTATTGTGAAAAATCTCAGGATCATTGTTAAATTCAGTTCTGAGGTCTTATTTAGCATCAGATAGGTACCAGGTACAATGAGAGATGCTCTAAGAGCTACAGAAACAAGTAAGAGACAGTCTTTTGTCTTCTAATTGGGATAAGATCTTTAGTACCCCTAGTGTTAGATATCAACCCAGTTCCTTTACCAAATCTTTTTTTTTATTATTATTAAATTATAAAAGTTTCCATTTCAGCCCCTCCTCCCACCACCCTCCCACTCCCCCCACTCCCTCTCCCCCTCCCTCTCCATCCCCCAGAGCAGTCAGGGTTTCCTGCCCTGTGGGAAGCCCGAGTTCCTCCCCCCTCCCTCCAGGTCCAGGGAAGGTGAGAGTCCAAACAGACTGGAGCGCCAAAATCCAGTACATGCAGAGGAAGCAAGATCCCCAGATTGTTCTCTGGACAGAGGAGAGGGTGCCTGAACCGGCCTTGGCCCACAACCATACTGATGAATATTTTGCATGTCACCATAGAACCCTCATCTGGCGATGGATGGAGATGGAGGCGGAGAACCACGTTGGAACACTGGACCTAGCTCCCTAGGTCCAAATGAGAGGCAGAAGGAAAGAGATCGTGAGCAATGAAGGCAAGGGCACAGGAAACCTTCATCCTTTACCAAATCTTATAGGATTGTGTCATTGTTTAATACTCACAAAACAAGAAAGACGGGCTCAAAACTAAAGATAGGATGAAAGGTTTCAACTTCCACACAAACAAGTTAAAAACAACTCTAGAAAGTGTTAATAAGAGGTAGGCTGGATGAACATTCTTAGGACTTGAAATGTTACCTTTAGTTTACAGAAGTGAATCTATTTACAAATGCAGAAGAAAAGAGATGGAAAGAAAGACAGCAGTGTGAGGCAGGAGAAAGAGCCAGGAGGGCAGTCTAGTGCACATTAGGGCCACATAGCATAGTGCCATTCGACAGCTGCCCCCCTTCCCTGATGTTGATTGGCATAAGTGAGGCTTCTATCTGCTGTCAGCATATTTGGAGCAAATCACAGTCAATACAGAGAGAGCTTCTCTGCATTTGCATACCACTATATGGAATTTCTCTCTGAATTCAATGTCACATGTCACATTTATGCAGAACACTTAACTGACCAATTTATTTCAAATAAATTATACCTTCAGTAAATCTCTACTCTCTGTTTTGTGTCTTCATGCCTAATGTCACCTGTCAGATTTGCCTTTCCCCATTTTTGTTAACTTAATAAAAAAAATTGGCGGCGTGATACTTGTGTACAATACATTGTGATTTTTTCAACTAATACTGCAAACTTTCTCATCCCTTCTCACTTGGCCTTATCCCTTTTTCCTCCCCATCCCTTTTTATTTCTGTGTCCCATAGAGGTAGTCACATTTTCTGAGTGTTTGTTTTCTTCCTCTGGGAAGTAGGATTTACAAAATCCAGAGCTTTGTTGCTTTAACTCTTGGAAAGAATACACACTTTTCTGTCCTTCAATCTAATTTTTCCTAAAATTTTGTATCTGGATCACTCAGACAGTTGCTACCCTTATAAATGTCTGAGCTATTCTCTGAGATGCTATTAATATGTCTTCTTCATCTGTACCATAAACTGACTAGCAATTTCCACTCCCCAGAAGACATCAGAAGTACAATAGGACATTTATAGAAGCAAGCTCAAAATCCACCTGGGGCTGCTGCACTGACTGTCATGACAGCCTTTAGCTACAGCCCCCAGAAACCAGCTGAGTGACCCTTTCCTAATGGCTTATGTTCAAAAGAGATGGTACATTTTTATTTCCTTTTTAAAATCTGACCTACTTGAGAGTAGGGGGAGAAAATGAACAAAGTCTGTGGCCAAAATTACATCTAATTTACCACATGAAGATCTGAACATTAACAAAATAAAATGTATAGAAGTGTTTAAATGAGATGGCCAAAAGCTGTGTGCATAATAAACCAATTAACATGCTTTGGAATGTGGCAACCTCCTGTGCCAAGAGAGGTGAAGCAGCAAATGTTGAAAGTTGTGGAAGTAGATTAACTGAACGGTGCATATGAGACTTACCTGCTCAAGCTGAGAACACTTTATAGTTCAAGTTCTATTTTTTTTTGATTGACAAATGATTTTTATTAAATTGTTGCACCTTGTGGATAGTTTCTGAAATTAATTAAATGCATAATTGGGAGACAAACATATGTATATTCATTTAAAAGGCTTATGCTCACCCAAGCTATCTAGAAAAAAAAGCGCACACTACCAAAGGAGTGATGTAAACTAAGCAATCAATCCAGCTACGAACCCTCTTATCTAAAATGATGTTTTACCTTCAATCTATGGTAGGACAATAATGACACAAGCTTGTGGGAGTAACCAACCAATCTTACTTGACTTAAGGTCCAGTCCACAGGATGGAACCCACTCCCTGTGCTTCACAGAGAACCAAGAACCCGAGACAAGTTAGAACAGGGTAAAACCAAATACTACTGTTTCAAAAAGGAAAAAAAAATAAGTAGCCAAAAGATTCCTAACAACTTTCTCTTGAAGAAGGACCAGTACAGGCAGAAACCTCCCTTGTGTATTTGGATTCATCCCTCACATTTGAACATAATAAATTATTTATATATAAAAAAATAAAAGCTAAATAGGTATATTAAAATGTCTCAACAAATACCAAAAAGACTTTATTTTTTTCAGAGATACTATTCTTTATACATAACAAAACACTATGTTGTCAGAAAACAAAACTATATTTGGAAACAGACAAAAAATAGTAGTTGAAAATAACTTCTTGGCACAAAAACCAATGAAGAAAAACAAAACAAATAAAAATCAGTAGTAAATCTGAATAGAAACAACTATGAATATAGAAAATTAATGAATCCTAAAGCTTGTGGGCTTCACACAACTCTGCAGCATAATAGGTCATCCGATTGCATGTTCTGGAAAAGAAAAAACATTGAAGAACCTCTCTGATCAATAGCAAGTCCGCCAGCTGGAAATCCCCGCAGATGTTCAGGGTTGAACCTAGTGAGCAGAGTATGGTTTTTGGAGCTGCTTTTTGGACACCATGAGTTGTTGCTTGACTAAGACTGAGAGCTGGCTATAAGATTGCTCTATTACCCAGCATCCTCCCTCCTGCAGGCTGACATGTTGCTCTACTACAGCATAGGCTCTGCAAGCACTGCGATCAGCAGACAAGGTGACATGTTCCCTGTTTCCCCAACCAGTGCAAGTCACAATGCTCTACACTGATCCTTTACTTCCTCCACACTGATCCACTTGGGAAACATTCCTCAAAACTATCAGACTCTCCTAGAACTGGAAGAAGTCAATAATAAAGGACCCAGGAGAAAGATTCTCATATATAGTTAGAGTTTTCATGATAAATGTCCCCAACTGGGTCATAAGTTTCCATAGTTGGTCTCTAATTGTTAGTGCTATTTGTGGAAGCTGTGAACCCTTTTGGATATGAAGAATTGATGGCAAACATTTGCATCACACAGGCATCCACCAATCACTGAATAAGATACTTAATACCATTCTCAATTAGAGTGACTATTGAGAGATATATTTTATTTTTCCCCCTTTCACCTTAGGAGTCTGCCTGCATACTAAGTTGTCAGTAATAGCTGATTCTTTTATGATTCTTCTTTGCTTATCAGTTAATATAATAAAAATTATATATTCCCGAACTCATAGTAAATGTATTTCTGCCTCCTCTACATTTCCTGTGCTTAGTATTATACTAGATATTCTCAAGGTTTGAGTGAGAAATGTCCCCAAAAGGCTCACATACTCGAATACTTAGTCCCTGGATGGTAGCATTGTTTGTGGGAGATTACAGAACGGGGGTAGGAATTACAGACAATTTTGAGCCACTGAAAGTTGGGAACCAAACTCAGGTCCTCTGGAAGAGCAACAAGTGGATTTAATT